TTTGCAAGATGCATTACGCCATACAGCTTCGGCATGACGACGCTAATGTCGCATCAAGACATTACAAAGAACATCTCATAATGATTGAAGATTGGGCCAAAAGTGGAATAAAAAGCAACGAAAAATAAATCAGGTCCATATAACCTTTCCCTGAGAAAAAACAAAATGCCCGTACTGTCCACCATCAACAACAATCCAATATACAGGTGGAAAGTGTAAAAAATACTTGGAATACATCTAGACAAAACCGGCTAACATGGAAGCATCACATCTTAGCCAAAAAAAAAGCACTTCAATTTCACAATACAAAACTATACTGCGATTACTAGATACCACTCAAAACTATCACTGGAAAATAAACTGTTGAATATATAAAGCTAATCATAATCCCCAATATAGGCGGGGGGGGGGGGGGGGGGGGGGGGGGGACCTACGGCATCAAATCTGGGCACAGCAAGCAAGATAATCTCTCGATCATACCAGAGATTTCAATCCAAGACTTAAGAATGATCCGGCAGCACCCTGGTTCATCACAATTGCAGCACTGCACAAGGATTAAAAATGCCCCAACTGTCTTGAAAGAATAGAATTTATCAGCTTCAAAACTATCTCCAGCGCCTGAAAAACCATCCAAACCACTTAGCCTCGAACATCCTAGACAATAGTGCATACATCCATCGACTAACCAGAACCTCACCCCTACAAAACTTCCCATATAGATTCTCAGACAAATAACTGAAACATTACCCTCAGCTACTAAAAACTATCCCACTTGCCAGTAACCCAAAATAATACATTGCTTTTTGTTAATAGTATTGAAGAAGTAGATGAAGAGTACCCGATGGGATACCCTTCACTGCGAAAATAAGCCAATGTCAGAATATTCTACAACCATCGTTATTTACTTATTTTTTGTAAAAAAAACTTAGATTGTTAAATTTTTTGTTATAAAAAAAAAAAAAAATTTATTGCCTTTGCGAAAAGGCCGATCTGGATTCACGCGTGCGTAGCACCCTAGCATTTACCGGGGCTCGGAAAATAGGAATTATCTCGTGGCAGGCTGCATGGTATTTTTTCTCTCAGGGGTCAGCATTTGGCTAGGTCCATTTTTTTTTTTTTTTTTTTTCCCATCTAACAACCCTGGGGGCATGGAACATGAAATGGTGATCATAGTGAGGGGTGAGAGGACAACACACATATATAACCACCGCTACGGCACTACTGCCTTATCGATCTCCGTCATCTGATATACATCCATGCCCGAGGCGGGACACGAACTCGCAATCTTCTGGTCCGAGACCGCTACGTCACTACTATTTTAGCAATCTCGGCCATCAGATCGGCGGCATCATCCTTTATTATTTCATATTTTAATTTAAACCAAATTGTGATCATGTGAGTTTTTTTATTCACAAATAAAAAAATCGAATACCAGAAAATACAGATGAAAGAGAAACATCGTCTTAAATATATCGACGAGTCTATAAAACATCCATACTTTGAAAACATCAACGTGGATGACGCATTCGTCCATGCAACCACGATCGACTCGCAGAAATAAACGAACTCGGTAAGAGCTAGTATCGCTGACCGTACTACATGGTTTAGAAGGCAAGTTTTGTTATTTTTCGCAAGGGACTTCTTGGAGCAGGCACACAAACAGGTAAAGAAGTCGCTTCGTGGAGTGGGTGAGAGGGGCTGAAATGTCACCTTGCGAGAACTGTCATCGTTAATGAACACAAGGTAGAGAACCCGTATTACCTCAAGGTGAGAGCTATGATCTGCTGCTTGCGCTTCCAAATGGATGTCTCTTTTCTGAGAAGCGTTCTTTCCTTTACGTAAAGATATTTATAATCAGTAGGAGTTATATTTATCGATTCGTATTTCATATTGGAATTCAGTATCCAAGTCTTAGCTAAGAACACCAATTCACGTTCTTTGTTACAAAAATGCTGTTGACCACTGGGTTCATTGTTTATGTGGCATTGATAAGAAACAACTACTATAAAACACCGTGCAACCAAATTACTACATTTTAACTTCATACTACGTACCCTTCAATTACTTATTAACTGCAATTCAACAATGTAAACTTACACTTAAACACCCAAATATTTGTAAAATATTATGCACTGCCCGTATTTCGTTCAAACTTCCTGCTTTCTAGATCGCAACTTCGATTTTCTTCAATATTATAAGTCGAAGCGAGGTGAGTTCAGAAAATTATCATTACATCGCTCTCCTTGCGAGGTTCTCTTGGAATAATTTAGATACAAATCTAAGTGAAGTACTACAAAGCAATAGTGAAAGAGCTGTGCAACGCGGGAAATTGTCTCAACTTTCAAAATTTTCTGTCAAATACATAGTAAAATCATTTTTTAAGCATATCATCATCATTAGTACTTGCAGTAGCAGCGGTAGCGACGAGGCAGGGGCAGAGGGTGAGGTGGTGGCGGTGGGGGGAAGATTAAGAGTTAACGACGCTTCAACATCATGATCACTGGCACCTGTGTCTAATTATGATCTATCAAACACTGAGCAACTAAACTGCCTAATATCGTGTAGGGCACCCGTGAACACGCAAACGTGCCGCAACACTACTGGGCTCTACTAATGTCTGAAGTAGTGCCGAAGGTAATTGACACCATGAATCCTGCAGGGCTGTCCATGAACTCGCAAGAGTACGAGTGTGTGGAGACCTCTGTACAGCACATGTTGCAAGGTATCCCAGATATGCTCAATAATGATCATGTCTGGTAATTTTGGAGGCCAGTGCAAGTGTTTAAATTCAGAAGAGTGTTCCTGGAGCTTTTCTGTAGCAAGTCTGGACGACTGGGCTGTCGCATTGTCCTGTTGGAATTTCCCAAGTCCGTTGGAATGCACAATTGACATGAATGGGTGCAGGTGATGCTTGCGTACGTGATGTACCTGACATGGTCGTATCTAGACGTATCCGGGGTCCCAAATTACTTCAACAGCACACGCTCCATACCATCACAGAGCCTCTACCAGCTGCAACAGCCCCATGTTGACATGCAGGCTCCATGGATTCATGAGGTTGTCGCCATACTCGTGAACGTCCATCCACTCGAAACAATGTGAAACTAGTTTCGTCAGACAAGACAACGTGTTTCCAGTAGCCAACAATCCAAAATCGATGATGACTACTTCAATATGCATGGCTGTACTTTTTTTTTGTCTCTTCAGTGTACATGATGTGACGTACAGTACGTGATAGCATCAAAGAAAAACATTCAGGTTGGGACATAAATTTCATTTCCCCGTAGGAAGCTGAAAACTTGGAGAGAGAAAACGCTTCGTTTATAAGAATCTCTCCTAGAGAGGCGGCAAGGTGATGCCTTCGGTTCATTGATGATTAGTGATTCCGTGCGCGTCAAGTTCTAAGGTCATTAGTCACGTAAGAGAACTGCGTGTTTTTATCGCGGGAGATGGCGGTTATCTTCCCCCGCTCGATCCCTTGTCATTCAACCAATTCAAACAAAGCGCCTGATGCATATCTGCTTTAATTTCGATAGTCAGGAGCAGCAATCATTTCTTACTTTTGACAAATGAAACAAACAGGAATAAATTTGACTGTTATAGTTTTCACAGAAATTATACAGAAGCGAACACAGCATTGTAGCCAGCGCAGCTCTGTCGAAACTATACGCAATTCATTTAGCATATATGCTTGGCGAATATTTTCTTATCAATGCTTGGCATAAATGGTTATTTCCATCTGCTTTCAGATTTCAACTTGTTTACGAGTTAGTCGGAGCACATCATACTCTCATATCATATAAGTATAATGATAGTATAAGTATAAGTATAATCATCATATAAGTATATACATCATATATACTCTCTGGAGTACATCATACACATTGATACATAACCAACCCGAATATTAATAAAGTAATTAAATGACAAATGTTTTACGATTTGTAATATTAAGTTGATTTATTACTGCCTTATATTATGACATCGCCTCAAATGAAGAGCAGAAAAATAAAACTAAAGTTTATTATAACGTGATTTTTATTTAAAAAAATTATAAACTTGTTTCTTCAAAGAATACCCCAACCCCCCATTTACTGTATATCTTCATTTAATGAAATAATTTTAGGCCCCCCTGGGGTGACATTCAATAGGGATTCTGCTGTAAATGAAGATGCTTCCACTTCTGAGTCTTGGAGTTTCTAATCTCCGTTATTGTGCAGTAGGTAACAACATTTTGAGCATTTTTAACTGGGCATAAGATTTCTCCGGTATGTATTGCAGAGATTATTTACTTCAACAACAGAGTATCATTGTGTATAGATAATTATTGGTCATTTCCTAACAAGTTGTGTAACTAGGTTGTCAGATGCCCTGGTGCATAAAGTCAAAATGGAGCCTTTATCTGCAATACATGTGTAATTCATAGTTTGAAATCCAATTGGTACAACATCAGATAGTTTTAAGAAGAAAATAAACAGAGTACGATTCGTTTTTTGCTTTGCCGAGATTAGTCTGTGGGGGTCCTAATCGCCAGGAGAACAAAGCAGTGTGAATCGGTTACACCAACCTAGTTTCACCATCTCATCCTAAGGATGAACAAAGGATATAAAAGAAGAGGAATGTATTTGTAATTTATTAATATATGTTATCTTAATTTATATCAGAAAACTATTATAAAGTTCGATAATTTTTGTAATCATTGGCATCCTGTTTGTACCTAGCAATCGCTGATTCATTTTTGGCTACAGAGCCTTAATCAACCCCTTTGACTTCCATTAAGATTCCATCCCCCCCCCCTCCCAAGTAAATACTGATTCCTTTTCGGGAATCCCTGATTTAGGCCAACAAATGAGACAGGACAGTGATGAGAATGAACATTGGATAATACCGACCACTTCCAATTTTGAAGCTTTCAATAAAAAAATTAAACAATTTTTAGTGCATGAAAGATAGAAATGCAAACTGAAAATATGTCTGAAATCAAAGCAAAATTAACTTTGTTTAGTAATTTTTTTAAATACCAGGTAATTCATGATGCAAGTAATAATTTGAAAGATTTACAATATACAATAGAAAAACAATTTCCCTGTATTTATTTTTAATTTTTCAGTTCCTTTAAACAACTGATTCAGTTGTGCATTATAGTTTCTCAACTATGTTTGCTAAAGTCTCCACAAATGAAGTAGTCAATAGTTATTTTAAATGTCTGAAAAATTGTAAGATATTTATTTCCAAACACAATATAGTACCATTCACAAGCAAATATTTTGGCAATCATTCTTGCTTCTTTCCAAATCGCTGAATACCGAAGATCATTGCTGTTATAAATACACAAGGAATTGCAGATGACAATTATGTTAGGGAAAAACAGGCAAAATACAAGCAAACAAACAAACCAAAACTTTTGTTAAAATAGAAGAAATATTTAATGCACCAGGAAAAATTAAAAAAGAGGTGATCAAAGCAACTTACACAGAATGATAAGTTCAGATCAATTAAGTGTAGAAATAAAACACAACAGAACTCAAAAATTCCCAATTGTAAAATACAATACCAATAATTGAATGATATGAAAGTGAGATGCATCATATCAAAGTGAAACAAATTTTTTTTTTTCATTTTTATGTTCATCACAAAATGATATAAAAGAAACAAAATTTAAACTAAGAGTGATTTTTAACAGAAGTTAAAAGTTAAAAGAAGAAATCATTCACCAGTATTTCTGAGTATGAGGAAATAAAATAATTAATAACAATGCAACAGCAAAATCTACATCTGATAATCAAATAAATAAAATTTACAGATTTGGGGTGACAGCAAAGCATAAAAGCTGCATCATTGGTACAAAGCCCAGGAAAACACACATCCTGGGGTTAATTCTCAGCATGCAAGCAACTAGATTATTCAATATATTAACACTTCATCAGGTGTATTTTTTGTTTTTTTCTATCACTCAACAGCACATTTTATCCAATTCTTATGTTGATACCACTGTACCAAAGTGCTCCCTATATGAACTACATTTTTTTCTGAGTTTACATAATATAGTCTGTACATACAAAATACAACTTTTGTAGGACACTACACTTAAACATCTATACAACTTTGAAAGACACTAAATATCTTGGAAAATGTATACAATCACAAAAAATATGCTCCAACAAATTCCACACAAGAATCTTCTTGTAACCTGCTATCTTCTCACAAGCGCACACACACAATATCAAGCCACAAAACAGCTTGTTTGTAAATGAAGACACAATTATAATTGAAATACACTAATTTAAAACTTTTCGTCTTCCATCTGCCCCTTCACTTTCCTTTTTATGTATAATATGTACACATTAATTTGAAAAGAAATATCACAAAAATGTTTCATGACTTTTTTAAAAAACCTTCGATACATTTAGTCAACATATTTTAAATACCACTCACTTTAATAAGTAGAGACAGCTTAATTTTAGTCAAGTTCCCAATGATATGCATGTTAATGCCTTCAGGTTCACTTCATTCCGTTTTCTGAGTAACTGGGGGAAACTCACTATCATCATCAAACCGGAAACCTCCCTTGGGAGGCGACTCTGTTGCAGTTGCCATCTCATGAAACTTTTCAGATTCTGAAAAAGAAAAAGAGCAGGGAGTTAATTCAGTGAACCTCACAGCTTTTAATGTCTCAAAACCATTCTCTTACTCTGAGGCTCCCGAAAATGCCAATTGTCCTTCTCTGTAAGATGCTGAATGCCTTTCAACTGGTCTGTCTAATGTTCCTAATGGTACATGTTAAAAATTTTCAAACATCTAAGAGGAAATAAGGAAGTATATTTCTGACAAGCAGAGGCAGATAAACATTCCGTTAATCCAAGCAAAAGAACGCAGTTGCTTACAGTCAACTTATACTTTACCAAAATACCTACCCGTAACCGTAAATTCCATCTTCTGAATCTTAATTTTACAAATAAAGACCAAACATCATTAAGAGACATAGACCAATTTCTAAGAAATGGAAATACATTGGCCATGTTAAGAAATGCATAAATGCAGCTGAAGCAAGCTTTTGTCATTTTGTGAATGGATGTGCATCTTGCTTTGAATTACCAACAGATATTAAGGTTTAACAAATTGCTTGCATAATAAAATGCAGATACTCTCCATTTTTGAAAGAAATAAGCACTCCATTAACACAAACCATTTACATAACAACAAAAATTGTTACAAAATAAATGCTCCATGTATAGCTGTGTAAATATACTAAAATTAACTTCTGGCAGTTTTTTCAATTTACTAGTTTGAACTGATGCAACTTCACTCTTTATACTCTCACAGACTACCAAACCAAACATCCTACAGTTCAAACATTTGTGAAAAAAGGTTCCTATGTATTTCTATTGTATTACTTAATATATTATTTATATAACAGCCCTAATAAATCTACCAATCTATTTCTAGGAAGAGATTTGAGATTTTTGAACTTCACACACTTCCTGCATTGAAAAAGATAAATATTTATGAAACCCAAGTAAAATGTGTATTGTATTGTTTTCATACTTCGAAGCAAAAAAGTGTCTCCAACTACATGCTGGTATAGTTATAATTAAAAAATACAAAGACCCATTTTCAATTTACTGTCAAAATTAATCATAACAGCAAAAAATATTTCACAGTTTACTGACATAAGTAAAATTAATGAAAAAGAAATGTCTTACGTAGTCTGTCTGCCGGAAATATCAAAGAAAGCAGTTGCATCTCTCAAAATGTCAAGTCAAATCTTATTATACATGGCATCTAATATCCCAAAGTGGTAGGTTTATCATAAAAACTGAAATAACCTTGAGAAAGTGAGAGAAATTTCTGAAATAACTTTCCACAGAAGTTGAGAGCACCACACTGATTGTTTGATAGAAAACTCAGCAACTAGCAATGTCAACTAGAGAAGCTAGAAGCAAAATCTGTTGAGGTGGTGCCTGAATGTTCAGCAACTCAACAAATTTCCTGTACATGCTTCATACTAATTTGCATAATTGACACAGCTAGTTATTCAGCTCCCCAGAGAATGTACCGACTCCTAATATGCCAAGGTGGTGTCTGATGGATGGCAATTAGTCATCATGAAGATTAAGATTGCCTCTGTGAATTCAGACACCCTATCCCCCCCCCTCCCAATTTCTTTGCCCCAAATCAGGCCCAGCAGATTCTCTAGTCCACATAAAGCCATCAATAGGATGCCCTCTGTCTCTTCAAAGTCATTTGGGCGAGTTCTGTCAGAAAAATCTCCCATAGTGGACACAGCAATACATGAGATGCAATAAACATTTTGTCCGTTATAAACTTAATTCATTTTAGAGTCATGAAAAGAAAAGAGCATGAATGGCTTGGCCAGCATATGCTTATGTGGTGCCACATTGCTCTAGACATACCAACAACAGTACCTGACATGGCACCCGGAGAACAGCCTTTCAATATCCCGGCGTAGCTACTTATGTGTCCTGGAGGAAAGGGCAACAAACAAAACATGCTTGTCAGTTCCACACATGGCCGAGGGCATACGGCCAAAGACGGCGTGCGCCGAAAGGGGGCAGAGGAATAGGACATTAGAGCAGCAAAACATAGATCAAGTAGAATTCCAAACTAACTTTTTGTTAAAGAATTTTAAATATTTTAAAACTAATTAACATATTGAGTCTTTCTTTTAGACTCATGATATCCAATATTAAATTGGGCTGAACGTTGAAAATGTTGAATAAAGGTGGGCAATAGGATCAATAGAAACAGAACTTCAATCTCTTCAGGGCATATTGTGTCTTCCTGATCTATTTTCTCTGCTTTGCTTCCTTAGATAACATTTATTAGTAAATTTTGAAAAACAGTTAATATCACTGGATTTGGGTATTTCTAGGAATGACAGTTTAATAACTAACAAACTCAAAATAGTAAATTCCTTAAAATTCATTTAATGAATATCCGTGAAAAGCAGAGGTTAAAGAATAGGAAGAACCAATATAAAATCCAATTTTCTGGCCAACGTGAAAGGTATGAATAGAATCGAAAAGCAATATTTTTAACAAAACTAAACAAGAAATGTCCTATACAATTTTAATACTAAACACAAGTATTATAAAATATGAAATATTACATTTTTAGAAAGCAATTTACAGCAAACTATTTCGATAGTAAAATCTACATAAGTTTTGCACATTCAAATGGCAATATCAAATGTTTAGTCTATGGTCACCAAAGATAAGAAATAAATGTTTGGCACTCAAAATAGCAGAAAGAGTCTTGAAAATAACTCAGCCTGCTGTTTAGCTCTGCCATTTTTCTGTGGGCACCATATGTTTGGAAGGTACATTAAAATTACTGATAATAAAACAAATAGAAATCCAAATCAAAACAAGGCACTAATCTTCTAAGATAAACACAGAAACAATTGCTTGCAATCACAGATCAAAGCTGAATTTCAACTCTCCTCTTTGTTTTGTTTCATGAACAATTTTGTATTTACCTGCTGACGCAGCACTGCTGCTCACTGGTTTGGGTGACGAGTGAGACGGCAGAGCATTAGCAGCTGTGGCGCCATGGTCGTTGCCAGAGGAAGTTGGTTGGCTTTCCGACTGCTGTTCAGGCTTGCCATCCAACCTTACGACCACATACGAGAGGTCAATTAAAATTTACAAAAGAAACAAGAAAGAGGGAAATATATCCATAGAAACAAGAAGAAATATAGGAGGGAGAAGTAAGTAGTCCGGGATATTAAAATGAAAGGGAGTTGAGAAATAATTTGGATAGCTGGTTTGAACCTTTTTCAAGAACTTCTTCAGGACTGCATTCAACTGGATTTGAATACAAAAATATCAGAGAGATAAATGAAAAATATAATAAGGATAATATATGAAGGGAAAAGCATCTCTGAATAAATTCTAATAAAAGGCTGAAATGTTCGCAGCTGAATGAGAAAATGTAATTTCTAACAACCTAAACTCAGGAGACTCGAAATTATGTAAATTCAATCCAAGGAAACGGATACCATATTTATTAATGCTGTCATTTATATGACAGGAACTATTTTTGTATTGACAGAGAAATCTAATATTTTTCTATCACTCATGGATGTATCTAATTAGGTGAGTTTCTATCTAGATACACCCTCATGGGCAACTGGCTGAACTTATGAGTTCCAAATTATTTTTAAATTTAGAATCAGACATCAAATAAATAAAAAAATTAAAAGCAACAACACTTTGTTTATATAGGAAAGACTAATGATGATTATCAGGGTTAAACGTTATTACCATAACAGGGTACAGGGTTAATGTTATTTCCATAACTGTCTGCCATGTGAGCTAGTCATTGATATGGAGACTGAATTGCTCACCTGTGGCAGTTCTTAAACTACTCACGTATCCAGAGGTAGTGCTAACTGACCAACAACAATTGGTGGTAGGCCTGTACCTTTATCTCTCAGCAAAGGCACATTGTATCTAACCCTCCTCAATGCAATCCTTCAGTGGACTTTTGAATATTGATAAAAGGAATGTTCATACTGTTATGATAAATGAATGTAATAACTGAGAAAGGATTTTTCAAACATTATCCCATAAAGAGGTAAGATATTGCATTTTGTGTAATGCAATTCATAATGAATGTAGAGAGGGGTGGCCAATAATTTTCAAATATTTTGTTTTTTGAATTCCATGAATGCCAATTGGTATATTTGGTTAGAAATGTGCGTAATTTTTTTTATTTTACGGGTAACTTCTTACATTTCAGAAAATACGACAATTATTAAACATCAAAGGTTCAGACAAAGATCACCTCTATCGATTGCCATACTTTCTTGCGCTGATACTGTCGAGTCAAGTGCATTCGTAGATACTATCACATAGTTTCAACGGTTTTAACGTGAAATAAATAAATGCGACGATATATGCTTTACAAAGGGGCCCAGGGGCCATTTCAGGAGCGCACGAAGATCGCCCAAAGCATTTTTATGCAAATCACATTAACGCAAAGCCAGGAGAAGGCATTTTGATATATAAGCGGGAATTCATAATGAATGGAACCTCTTTTTAATCAATTTACGAATAATTGAACATAATAGTTTCAATCGTTATCGCGCCTTTTTGGTGAACATGTTTTTGCGGTATCGCCCGTTTTAACGTTGCTTACGAGTCTCATTTGCTGTTGAAAGCTTCCTACTAATTTGTCAGAATCAGCAGTATTACGATATATGATATTTGTATTCGTGCGTCTGTGAACCGCTGACTGCCTCATGTTACAGATGTGTTATGTAGATATAATATATCAAAAAAAAATAATTTTCTGTGCATAACACGTGCCTCTTCTCTGCTGGGTAACAGCATAGTCCAATGTTTTTCCATATTGGACGCGTAAAATATTTCAACAGCTTTCGTAATTTGAATGAACCGATTCGTAAGTGTCGCTCGATTCGCGCCAAGCGAAGAAACTTCAATTGCGAAACAAAACTTGTCAACCAATTACGCTGCGTCACATGCATACAATAATTTATGGGTGTTAAAACAGATTCATGGAGAGTTATCCACGTTTGTCGTAATACCTCTGTAATTAAAACAAAAACTATTGATCAATGTACGCGAAGTTCTCTGGACCCACCAATTCACCGGCGCTTCCAGTTCGGATCTTGAGTGTGTAGTACACACTCCAAGAACAAGAAATAACTGACCCGAGAGATTCTGGAACTAGCAAGGCAATATCCAGTGTCGACTGTATCGAATCATTGTTAGTCAATGACGTTTTCTATTGTAAAATGTTGCCAAGGAGAAACGATGTCTGAGGCGAGAGAAACCATTAAGGGTAGAAGTTAATATGATTCAATATGTTGATTTCGAAAAAGCGTCAAAAAACAGCTCAACCCCTCAAAATTGGATTTTTTAAAAAAAATTGTTAGAATGTCTCCTCTATTTTCGCAGGTTTTCGAAGCGCTGCTGCTCCAGCCGTCTATATAAATATAGCGAACTGCTCCGACGGCCATTTGAGCGTTCCACACGGGAGCCAACAATGCCGTTTGCGTAATTACCGATTGCTGGCATGCCACCGCAGACCGCGAGCGTCGGCGAATGTTCCGCCAAGGTCGGCCTAACAGCGGACTGCACGTCACCAAAGGAGAAAGGAAGAAGGCCTTCGAATAGCCAGGGTCTCGTTTGGTCAAGCCCGTGTTAAGCGTTGGTGGGGTGAACATCGTGCCATTTCTAATGGGGCGTGTCTTCAAATGAGCTAATGACGGAAATTTATTGATTTTATCAAAAAGTTGCTTAAATTTTCCTCAGAAAGCCGTATCATCTTTAGTTGGCGCACACGTGAAAGAATAGAATGTTTCAATGTACGTAAACATTATAAACACTTTCCAAAATATGTATGTTCGATTAAAAAGAAAAATGAATCGCCGATGCAAAGACTTCGTTTGAACTATCCGGACAGTCGTAAGTGCAACGTGGTGTAACAGATCTCCGAAAATAAAAGTTGAAACCCCTATCTCTTGTCCCTCTTTGGCTGCACATGCAATGCGACCTGCCAGTCGACGAGCTGGATTCGTGGGAAAATATACATTTTCTAGTGCATTTTCATTACAATAAAATATTTGTTTTAAATAAATAAATGGACTGATTGTCTTTAAATATCTTGAGGATACCATGGTCCTTCTACTCACAATAAAAGCCTCTAATATACCCTTATTTTCATTATAATAAAATATCACTTTCCTGAACATTAAATGCTTGATATAATAACAAGCATTTTTTGTAAGAAAAATGGAACAAAACCAAAACCATATTAACTTAATAGTATTAAGCAACCACCTCTCTCAAGAACACTTTTGTCATGAAACCAACACGGGTCACTTAATACATATTTCACTGTAGTTTATGGATTTCAAAGTAGAAAATTAGATACAATTGAAATGTGAGTAAAGTTCTGCTCTCATGTTTGACATCATTGCACATAAAGGAATACACGACTTTCTATCATATGATGGTTTGGTGTTAAGGCTAAATGCACCGAAAAATACTTGTAGGAAAAGTTCAATAGATCGCAGCACTATCACGGGGGAATTTACTTTACTGATAACGTCTGAACCAATGTCCGATTTCGACTGTAAACGGCATTTGACACTCTTTTAAAATAGAATTCACGCTACGATGCCCTTTTTCCAAAAATCTAGCAAAAATTCAATTTGAAATTAGTTCTCACTTCCGAGAAAAAATTAAAAATGTGGGCTTATAGCGCGATGGCGACATGCTGCTGAATCCAACGCCGTGACAATCATGCAAATCGAATGAATAGAAGCGTTCGTAAAGAGAAATTTACGAAAACGCTCGTCCCCCTCCCTTCTGCGCCGTTGCGTCCACCCGGTTATTGTGGGCCCTCCGTCGGCGCGACGGCCCGCCAGGCCAGCCAGGCGCGTGCGCAGACCCGGCGGAGGCAGGCGGGACTTGCGGGATACGCGAGCCAGACTGTCGGTTTATGCTTTCGTCACCTTTTGCAATCTCAATAACTTTTTCACAGATAGTAATAGTAGTACATAACTATCTTTTTAACATATTTTCCGTCTTCCTTTGATACCATATAAAATTGTTTGAACATTACTCAAAATATCGATTTCCTATTGAACTGGTTTTAACAAATTGAACTATTCTGTAATATCACCATAGTCACATCTTTCACATTTATTTTAGATATATTTTACTCCTAAGTTATTCCGTTTTCATTCCACCTTACTCTAAGATCTTTCGTTGTCACATACCGAAAGAATGAGCGGAGTATACGCAGCAGCTCTTTTATCTAAAACTCGATTTTTGATCTCAAAACGGCGTTCTGCGCTATATTGTTTACAGAGATTATCTGGTGAATCTCTTTTCCCAAGTAAAATAGCCGAAGCTATTTTTAAAATGTTTTCGTACTTTCGGACAAATTTAAAAGGTGGTAAAATAGCGCGCGTGGCGAGTGCATCCTGACCCAACTCCGTAACAAGCATCGAAATAAGATATGAATCATCCCAGCCCTTACTTGGTAAGTTATATTGATATAAAATAAATGTTATTATCTGTATTAATTTTGAAGGGAATAAATAATTCCCGGTGCGTATGGTCGTACAGACTACGTAAATGAATAGAGAGTATTGATGCATTGGATAACTCTAAATTTGGAGCATGTTTTCCCTCAATTTTCTTTGTTTTAAAAAAAATGGATTTCATATAAAAAGTTATATAGAGTATCTATCTTGCACTATGTAAAACCAGTTTGACGTGACTCTATGAATGCGGCCACAATGATATAAATAATACTGGAACATTCAAACAGGCTTAAAAACCAACGATTTTTTTTCTGTGAGTATGATCGTAGATTATACTTTACGCTAACGCTTACGCGACATAATGTAATATAAACAAACTTTCCAGAAAAGATAGAAAATGAGGTTTCTTTCAATGTGAAGATTGTTTTCTGAAAATTGCTCAGAAGAGTAATACGGTTATAAATGGACTGTGTTGGTACATCATCATAATATAATAATAATAATATAATAATAATAATAATATAATAATAATAGTAATAATAATAATAATAATAATAGCACGCGTTTGGAGTAAAAAATGTGTGTATATGTTTGCTCTATATCGTCCAATGAATCTTCACTTTCGATGTCTGAGATTGTCTGCTTATGTCGTTTGCTGTTATGTCAGCCTGCTGGCAATATTATAACAGAAATGTGCGAATACATTTACTTTTTAAGTGAAAATCGAAACAGTAATTGTTTTTGAATTTTTCCCGAGTTCATGGATATCTTACCATTGGCATTCTCTCAAAGGACCCGAGACTTGCACAGTTTTCTTCGATTTCTATGCGCTGTGAAAATTTGTACTATACATTACCGAAAGGTTTTTTTTATAGGGATCATGTCCGAACGATTACTAGTCGTTGCGTTCATATTCACTCAGTGATATTCTAACACTTCAGTTTTGGAACTTAAAAAAATCACTGTTCTCGCTTTACCAGCTGTAATTCCATGCTTGCGCGAGGTGAGTGAAACGACGACTGCTTTCGATAGTATCGATTGCAAATCGCTCAACAAACGTCATAATGAACAAGTGGCTGCGATAAGCATTCAACCTTTTAATTAGTATCAAAATGTTATTTTTTATTCTTTAAAATAGGTTACTAAGAACAAGTTTAAACGGCTACTAGGTTTCACTGTCACGAAATTTGGTGTGTAGAGAGCTTTTTTTGTTTCTGAACCAAAATACTTATTGTCGATATAACTATATACTTACACAAGAGTCATTTCAAGTGAACAAAACACTAGCAGTTTCCTAGGATTAATCAACCTTCTATTAGGCTTCTCCGAGCGCGAATAGGTAAAATTTAATGCAGTTTTTAAATATATACTCATAGATCTCGTCATTCGAGGATCCAAAATTTCAGTTAGGAGCACTTCTTTGTAGCAGAACATAAGTTTCTGTATCATTTTTTTCTGCCAGAAATCGTCATCGGCGTGAATAATTTCATGATGCATGTCCTTTGGGGTACAATACAACGAAATGACTTCTTTTTCCTGCGAGTTGAAACTGGCCCTGAATTTGATAATAATAATCTGTTCTTTTTTTCAATTCAATGACTTTTTGTCAATGCAGAAATTTTTTATGTATTTGCATGCCTCCTGTATTCGACATGTTTTTTGCTGATTTAAGACATTTTATTTCTAATATTGAATCTTCTCCGACAAAACAACGTCAGGGGGAGCTCCAAGAACCCATAGAATTGGGTGTACAAAGAGACCGCATTCATCAACAATTAGACCCTGGTTTTTTTCTTGAAAAACAATCAATAGGCGCGTGATTCTTCTCGCTTCCGTACATCATGGCACTTGACCGGAAGCACCAACAGCAGTTTTGTTTCGACAGGAGCCCCACTCTATTAGCTGCCTCTTACAAAAATATCCGAAATGGACGCGGTGAGCCTGTTCTTTTCTTTCATTGTGCCACCTCTCAGATTTCTGCCTGCCCTCTTGTTGCTATTCAAGCTCCACTATTTTCCTCTTTATTAAGTGACAGTTGCAAGATCTTCTTCTCTTTCATTGTTGTCAGTTTCGCTATCCTCCATGTCCCCTGATAGCACATACACGTAGTCAGCTAAACCTTTCTGGCTATCTTTATGATACGCGCCCAGATCTTACTTTCCTACCATTTCATTCCTCTTGCCGTGCTTGAAGAGCGACCTTCTGCAAGCTGCTCTTCGTTTCTCTTCTTCTCGCCTGTTTGCTTTACAATAGGAAGAGGACTTTCATTCGACATAGATTTCATTGTCTCATAGTGCCAATACGATTTCAACTGAAGTCTAAACGCAGCTTTTGTTCTGTGGGTAAAAAGAACCAGGTTTGCCTTTTAATTTGTTTTCCCCAGTAAATTTTGCCACTAAAGACATGTAATATTCTGGCAGCGTTGCTAGTGCTCGTTGGTGATAAGTTGATGTTTTTCAATACAACTGGCCGATGCAATAGAAATCGTGCTTTGTCGCAGATTTCCTCTCTTCTTTGGGCAGGTCGATAGACTCACCTATTTTTGGAGCAAAAATTATGGCTTGCAGAATCTGTGAATGCCAAAAAGTTGTAGCATAAAGAGCTCGTGCGTATACTCCGCCCACTCTTTCCGGTATGTGACAACGGAAGATCTTAGAGTAAGGTGGAATGAAAACGGAATAAACGTAGGAGTAAATATATCTAAAATAGATGTGAGAAGATGGACTAATGGTGATATTTACAGAATTAGTTCAATTGTTTAAAACCAGTTCCAAATGGAATCGATATTTTGAGTAAATGTCTCAAACAATTTTAAATATGGTATTCAAAGGAAGACGGAAATATGTGAAAAAGATAGTTATGTACTGCTATTACAGACCGTTTACGTCGGTCTGTAATAGCAGTATAGATCTCGTAGTTTGGTATCTGTGGAAAAGTAGATTGAGATGCAAAGTGACGAAAGCATAAAACGACTGTCTGGCTCACGTATCCCGCAAGTCGGCCTGCTCCGCCGGGCTGGCCGCACGCCGCCTGGCCTGGCGTGGTCGTGCCCCGCGCCGACAGAGGGCCCACAACAATCGGGTGGATGACGCAACGGCGGAGAAGGGAGGGGGGGGCGAGGCGTTTGTAAATTTCACTTTACGACGCTTCTATTCATTCGTTGATGATTGTCACGGCGTTGGATTTCAGCAAGATGTCGCCATCGCGCTATAAGCCCACATTTTTTAATTTTTTCTCGAAAGTTCGAGAACTAATTTCAAATTTGAATTTTTGCTAGATTTTTGGAAAAAGGGGCATGCGTAGCGTGAATTCTATTTTAAAAAAGCGTCAAATGCCGTTACAGATCGAAAATCGGACCATTGGTTCAGACGTTATCGGTAAAGTAAATTTTACTTATTTTGGTGCTGCCACGTGGTGCCACAAATTGTACTAGTGTCGGTACATTTAGCCTTAATGGGCTAACAGAAAACTCAATGATAAAACAATTCTTCATGCTCTTGACTTGCGAAATACTGATACAAACAAATTTAAGTACAAAAAAAGTCAGTAAAATATTCATCAGTTGAGATGGAGTAATATTTACCTGTGCTGCTTCACCAGAGTGCAATCTCCACCTTCAGTAGTATCCAAGTTGTAAATATACAAGTACCCATCAGCTGATGCCACAAGCAGGCGAAGTACTTTTTGGATTCTGGAAACAATTGCACATTTTAAAAACAAGTCTCTTAACAAATAATGCATTTTTCAACCAGCTTATTGCTCTCTACTTTCAATAATATTCTCTTCCTTATAAGGTTCCATTTAATTTCACATGATATCTACATAAAAGTATTCACCGCACATACCTACTAAACAATCTGCAAGTTATTAATATGAAGAGGACAGGTTGTACTATCCAGACATAAAGTCTTGAAAGTTTTTTGGGTACATTTCTGGGAAGGAAGTAGCAAGGAAAAATGGCAAGGATGCTGCTTCATGATGTAGAGGCTCTACGGAATACAGAACTGTAAGCAACAGTGATACACCTAAATAATTTTACAAGCAATTATATGTATCATTTTTGTAAGAGTTAATGACATTCTTACACTGTTAAATGAAATTAATTACAGAACTAATTTTCAAAAAGCACATTTTTCAACAACATTAAGTCCACGACTTCAACACTATTCCTGCATATTAACAATTCATAAAACAATGGTGTATTTATTGAGCACTAACGATACACACACTTATATTTGTAAATTTTGTTTGTGTACCTTACTCTAATAAATCATTTTCAAACTTATATTTATGACAGCAGTGAAGCTGATATTACAAGAATCAATATTATAGAACGCTTCTAAACAACTCCTGTGTTCTTATTATTTTTCATTTTATGTGAGATAGGCAATATCTAACAATCTGTACATATTTATTCAAATAATTTTCGAAAGATTTCTATCTTTATTTTCCAATAAATTTGGGTATGATGCCTTCCAGTTTTGTTCCAAATTGTTACAGTGTGTAATGAAAGTAGTGTCCTTTGTACTCACTCCTAAAATGTTAACAGAACAATCTCAATTTCACAGTGGTAGCTCTCCCAGGGAAAAGTTCAAAAACCTTCACAGCATAATGTCCTGTTTAAGATCTAGAATACTGTTATAAGATATCCTCACTCATTGTTCTGGTAACAATAACTTTATTCAGGAATTATTGTTGCATTTAGACATAAAAGCAGTATATAATAACTACTAATTTAAGTATTGCCTCTAAATAGGCTAGTGGGTAGAATAGTAGCTTCCCATGGTGTAGTCTCGGGTTCGATTCCTCGATAAGGCAAAAATAGATTGTATCTTTTATTTTTTTGTCTCGGTTTCTATAGCTAACAAAGAAAAACTCAGGCACACAGAGTTTGCTAGTTACAGTGAAGGGAATACATTGTGTTCACCACATGTCTTAGCCCAGATACGTGGAAATTAAACTAGGCCCAGGCACTGTCTGGCTCTGTCCCATGAAATTAAATGTCATTTACACAGCATAAAATGGAACCTCTCCACCGCAGAAACGAAATGGATTTTCATGTTTTGGAGGGGAAAACAATCTTTATAAAAATGAATTCCTGCAATTTAATAGCTGGACTTAATGCAATAGGCAGAGAGACATGAGATTTTCTAAATGAAATGAATGCATTTGCATGCAAATTTTAAATTCATTATCACTGCGACACGCAATTTAGTTCCGGCAGCCAGACACTGAAGGAGAGGGGCTTCATCTGTCAGCGTAGAATTTGACTTTGGGATCACTTGTCTCTCAAGGCGAAAGCCGTAGGGGAATTCCCTATCTCCTGACTCTGAACGTGGGAGGGTGTGGGTATGCGTGTCCCTTCCCTGCGTAGAAAATCATAATCCGATACACATAGCTCAAAGCCATGCGAGAGTATCAGAATGTCGTAGTATTGGATTGTGATGCATTATACTTTGAAAGAGTCCACAAGCGGTCTGAGTACAGCCTGTAACACTAGTATTTTTCAACTCGGAAGCTGTCAATGAAGGGCGATTAATATTCATTTACTAGTGATTTCTTCTATAAATACATTATATGTTAATGTAATTTGATAGTTATAATGAAGTCATGTAATTTACTACTTTCAGGGTGCAAACATCAAATCACAAGTGCCATAAAATCGACAACCTTACATAAAACGGAAACCTCCTTAAACTTTTTTTTTTCCCCCGATCGATTACACCTTAGGCAGATTTTACTGTATTCATAATAAAAATAAACATGAAATGCTCATGTAGTCTGACTGTCTGAGTTTTCTAGAAGCTACACATTTTTTAAGGGTTACAATTTTGCTCTTGTAGCATTACACAAAAAAGGAAAGGGATGAAATCTACCAATGTCATGTTTTTATTTCAACTGTATATGTGAAATCCTCTTGGAGATCAGATTTGAAACCATTTTTTTATAACACAAATGACATTTTAATATTTATTAGATTTCATTATTAACTGGAGATTAAAATTTCCGAAGATAGAAGTAGAGAATAAACCCTCAACCACAGGATAAACAGTTCTCTGGGTAAAACACAGAACTTATGTAAATTTATATTATCACAGATGCAACAATGAATTTATCGCGCTCAAACGCACAGAATTTTTAATCCAGGAAGAACTCATGTCTTATTCACTATAAAAAAAGATTATATCATTAAATTAAATGAGGGTAATTGTAGTGTTTAAGTCTATATCTAGAACCTAGAACTGTAGATGAGAATTAAATCTAAAACTTTCTGGGCAGCACTGAAGATCTAGAAATTCTAGCCTTTGGGAGAAGGGTGGTCGTTTTTGGCAAAAGAATTCAAGGTTTGACTGCAAAAATAATGATTGTGTTTCATCAATTACTACTTTTGACATCTCAACATTAAAAATTGGCACCAGTGTGTATGCTCTACAATCTCTTTTTGTGAAGCTGGTGGAGTTACTGTAGTTTGGAGGGACCATTTCATTTTTCCAATGGTCAACTTTTAAAAGTCTTTGAATTAATTACTTGCTTTTTTACCCAAGCTCACAACCTGGTTCAGCACACATCATACTTGAAACTTCAACTTGGGAACAGAATTTGGCATTGAGGCTAGTATCTCACAGAAAAGAGCACTAAGCATCTGATAACTAACATTCTAACGTAACATACTGGGTCTTTATCGCAACTCACAACCCATGAAAGCACTTTTAATTGTTTTGGCAAATTGGCAACTGCGTTCCTTTGACTCCTTTCATGACAAGCATGGCTGGCATGGATAGACAGCAGAGGAGGTGAGTGTCAGGTCATAAGCTGCAGTATAGTTCCCATATCTGCGCATTTTCCCAGTCAATGGTTTAGGTGGGCAGGTATGCGGCTCTCATGCCAGAATTTTATTGCGCTATGCAGGCTGAATGGGCAGAGGCATGAGCGGGCAAATAAAGCACCTCATTACACAATTCAGTCCAGTATCCTTAAGAAACAAAACTGTAATAATGATTCGAGGGAAGTTATGACTGATTTATCAATTTACTAACAGGAACATAATTATTTTTAAAAAGTCGGCTCTGAGAAAAATCTGAAAGACATCTCTGAAACATTACTGCCAAGCTCTTCATTATTTATAAAAATAATATAATGTTGTGGAATCTGCATATTAAACAAATAAGACAATATTAATAAAATCATTAAAAATATTAATAAAATATAAAATGAAACAGTACATTAATAATTATTGAAAATATTAAAGATACTAAAACATAAGTTCCCTAAAATGACAAAAACGCCTTTGAGTAAATGTTCAAAGTGACCACCAGCTGCCAAGACAAGCTCTTTTCAATGTAGTGGTTGCCGTATAACTAACAAGGACAGAACAAGTGTTTTCTCTTTCTTCCAACAAAAATTAGCCTCATCTCGGTCCAAAATTTGAGGGCACCCCGCCGGAGATTACCAAAGATATTTAACACATTGCCAAATCAAGAGGTGGTGTTTGCAGACATGTGTTGCAAGTTAAGATAAAGACCTGGTACTAGCAACTACATAACTTATGTATAGCCCAAGCTATAAAATTAGGAAAAATTTCAAAATAGTTTTAGACCTTCTCCATTATCTGATAATTTTCAAATAAAAAATTTCAGAACAGAAAGGACATGCAATCAATCTTACATTACAGTTAAATTAATGCCAGTGGATATTGTTTAAAACTCCAGTTGAACTGCTTTACTTTAAGCCAATTTATATGAATCAATTGTGGAAGGAAAAAATAAAGAAATGTGATGCTGTATAGCTGTTTGCTGTCAAATGTATTCATGACAGAATATGTCAATTCTTCCAATAAATGCCTAAGAGTGAGGCATTGAAAAACATTGCCAACTCAAAAATGCAAAGCAAGGGGTAAACTGAGATATATAGTGAGGTCCATTTAGATAGTGCCATGTAAATAAAAATTTGACTGTCACATTGAAACTTGAAACTACACCTTAATTCTGACTAAACCCTAAAAACTTCTAACCAGAAACCTGATCCCTTTTATCTCATATTATCAACAATTTCTTGTCGTTGCAACATTCTTAACCTCCCCTAGCCACTTTGTGTTGGATAATTTTTATTTCATGTGGCTTAATTCAAAAATATGTTTAGAAGCTGTTCCTTGTCAGATTTTACCAACCAACTATGGATATGTGAACATTAACTGACACATTCAGGAAACAGAAAGATTTGGACATTCATGCCTAATTTAATTTGTGATTTTGTTTTTATATAATCTTACAGTACACACTTTTCTCTATGTTATGCATTTTAAACATAATTCTATGAAATAAATCATTTTAAATTAATCATGAATAAATCAAATAAGATTCATCTTTTTGTACTAAATTTCAGAGTTTTTCCAATCATCAAAATTTTTCTACAACTAAATTGGCTTGATCTGTTTAATTTGTATTAAAATATTACAGTAAAAAATTAAAAACAAACTTGTCAATATTTTTGAAAAATGGAAATCAAACATAATCTTTCTTATTAACTAGTTTTTCTATTAACTCTTGTTCTCAAAGCCTACTTTTACTACAAGAACATTATAAATATCTTAAGTTTTATATAGAACTGATAATTTACATACACTGTAATTGCACAGACATTTCGGAGTCCTTGAAATGGCAAATGCACAGTAGCAAATGCACGGCCTTGATTGAAGACATCAGTTACTTGAGAAGGAAGATAATTGGCAGATGCTGAAACTGCTTTCGTAAAGTAGCCAATCCAACCTTGGTTTTCATCGGGAACTTGTCTTGGCCTGTTCAAAATAGTATCACAATACAGAAAAGATGCTCAAAATAATTACTTTGGGAACCACTAACTTATACTCACGCTTCTTTTGGTTCTTCCAGTTTAAAAACATGAACAGTTTCAGTATTACTGGAGCAACATAGAAAATTTGCATCCATACTGAATACCAAGCTGGAAATACTAACACAACGTTTCACACCTCGTCTGAATTCGAATAATTTTGTTCCATCATGCACCAAAAATACTCTGATCACAGTTCCTTTCTCAGAAGCTGTTGCAACTTTAGTTCCAGATGGACTAAAGCCTAGGGCTGCTAGAGGACTATCATGTGCAGGAATCATTGTTTTTGCATGCTGAAAACAATTGGAACCAAACTACTTAATAGGCACTTTAATTTTGAAAAAAAGTTTATTTGAAAGAAATTTACACACTTACCAAGTTGATGGCATCAAATATCTGAACTTCACCAATAGTGTTAGATCCAGGATAAGCTAGGTAACAATGGTCACTATTAATTGAGAGAGTGCAAAGTCCAGTGGGATTTGGTGGAGTATCTCTTATTGTATGTAGCACTCTCATATCTCTAATGTTGTGTATATAAAGAGACTCTTCCAGACATACAACCAATCGCTTAAAAATAATTATTTATGTAAGAACAAGCATTTTGTACTGATTCCACAAGTAAAAACTGATGATGGTTGATACATACAGCTCTATTTAGCTTCACAGCAAGAATAGTGTTTGAATAACTATAATTGCATATTTCTGTTCCTTTCTTGAAGTGACACACTTTCAACTTCCTGGGAGAGAGGAGGCTAACAACAGCCACCAAACTGCTGCTGAAGAGCCTCTCCACAATACAGATATCTTCTGTATCTACAAGGAATGACCAACAGTTTTATATGAAAGTTTCGTAGCTTCCTCTTCCATTTTGCTATTAAATAAGGACTTACCATTTTCATATATCTGCTCAAGATAATCAACAGAATTTAATGAAAATAAACGATACCCAGTTTTTGTTCCAACTGCTAAAGATCTGTGGATTGGCAAGAAACAACAATACATTAATTTTAGGTTAATATCTCAGTAAAAAACTATTATCATGGCAAAACAAATGCAGGATTTCCAATGACCAAGGTGTCATCCCCTCTTCTGAGACAAAGGTTTGCATAATTGTCCTACTTTGCAAATACACTTTCACTCTTCACAGATTAGGTAAATCTTCACAGGAAGCACAAATTTCACCTTGAATCATAGAAAACTCTCAGAAAAATTGTAATACGGTATTCTTTATTTTCGTTACTTTTAGTAAAATGAGAAAGTAATGATATGTCGAAGTACAATGACATATTCAGGAAAAACAATAATAATCGAAAACAAAGTACCAAAAATATAAGAAAGGCAACTGATTCACAATTACAAAAAAATATTTGAAAAGAAAGTGATCTTTTTTGCTTGTACTTGAACGATAGGATCGTTGCGACATACAAAAAAAACCCTCAACGGTACCTTCCATCAGCAGAAACGGCAAAAGAAAAGCTTGACATCTTTAATTAGAATAAGTACTAATTCATGTCGTAAATCGAATAGAAGATGTAAGCACTGAGTGATTCTTATTCATCGAACACAACACAACACAATGCCCATTGTCAAAAAGACAACTTACGTGCAGTCTTGATTAAAATTGACAAAGAAAACTCCGCTTGCAGGATCACTTCCTTGGCTTGCGAGGTTCATGAGTCCTGATATACCAGCCTTTAAACCTTGCGTCAACACATCTACGTTTCTAGCAAAATTTTGCATATATATTGCGTAAATTTAAACGACCTTGGTGCTATCACTCCATATTGACCACAAGAAACAGCTGAGAGTAACGTTTGGCGTTTGTTTACTAATGACAGCCGCTCACACTGATGAGCGGGAAGAACTGGCACAGTGGTACAAACCTTTACTCTGTGACTAAATGAACCAACCAGCCAGCCTGCCAACCAACCAAGTTTGAGCCAACCAACCACAAGCTCTTATGGCACAACGCCTGAGTGTCCACCAGCTGCGAACTGACAGTTCGCAATCGCAATTACGTAACATGTTCGACAAATGTAGGGATCACGCAGTATAATGGAGACAAAAGGATTACCAATTCAGAATGATCCAGGCCAACCGCTTAACTTCTAGTTTTATTTTTCATTAGTCTAATGGACTGCTGAAATATGTCGGACAATAACCGTAAAAATCGTAAAATTCCACACGAAATATTGGTCATGCACAACCATTAGAATGTCCGGTTGTTAATTGAAACGACCTTGATTACAATGTGTAAGTATAAAGCAGTAACAATAATTCCTTGTTTATTTTTTTCATGTCTTATTTATTGAGAAAATATGAACGTAACGTGTGTTTTGTCCATGCAATAAACATTGTAAATGACAGCGATTTCAATACAAGGAAATAATTAAGTAGATTGAACTTTGACCATGTTTACTCCACATTAATTGTCCTTTTTTTCTTAAACCCCGATCTAATTTTTATAGACTAGAAAATATTTCGTCTATCTTCTTGACTGAAAATTTACTCTTGAGAGATAAGGAACAAAGAACTGTAGTGACTTCAGTAAAGCAAGTGGTTATTGGTAGAGAAAATGATAATTTATGTCTCATTCAGCGTTAAAGGAACCTTCTTAACCTTTGCTCATGTGATACAAGGACACATTTTTGTCTAATTGACAGAGATGTGGGGATGTGAATCAGTTTTGTAGTTCATTTGATACTGCTACTTGTAGATGTTAATAATTCTCTGGTATCCCTGCACGTGTGAGCTTATTTATTAGATTCTTTTTCAAGCTTTAATATGGTACTTAAATTTGTGTGAAGTTGTAACTATTTTATTCTTTAGTATACATATAACTGGTTTAGAAAATAACAGGTTTGAAAATTATTCTATAGGAAAATTTATATTTGCAATGTGGGATGCAGTGGTTCAGTTGCTGAATGTGTTATTCCTTTGGAAACACGAGATGCCTATTTCAAAGATTCAGCGTTTTTGGACGCTTGCTCTTTACAGTATGCAATTTAAGTGGCTTCAAAAGTAAGTATTTTATATTTAATCTCCTTTCGGATTTCTAATTCTTAATTGATTTTTTCATGAAACACCATTAATAACTACTAATTAGAAATTATTTGTAATGACTAGTGTTAGATGGATGAATGAGAGGGCAAGCCCAAATTGTGCATATGTTCCAACATCTATTGAACATATTGCAAATGTCATTACTCACGGAGTAAGTATGTTTTTTCACCACAGGATCGTTGTTAGTTGAAATTCTTTTGATAATATTTTTTGTAATTTGAACTTATTTTTGAGAAATGAAAATTATTTTATAGGTTTGGGTTGTTCCCAGCATTTTAGCATGCTTAATGTTGATACAAAGGGCACAGAGTTGGCCACAATACTGGTCTGCTGTAGTATATGGTGCTGCTCTTATTTTGCTCTTCACAGTGTCAACTTTCTTCCATTCAGTTTTCTATTGCAGCAGAAATAGGTACATTGATTATAGTTTCAACAATTTTTCTTTTTCAGATTTTGTCTAAAATTTTGCCCATTCCAATAATTTAAAATTGTATTACAGCCACTTGAAAGATGTTTTGCATCGAGGTGATCGGGCAATGATATATGTGTTCATTGCGGCTTCATATTTTCCATGGTTGACTTTGCAACCATTACCTCCAAGTGGTTGGGCTGCTGAACTTCGTTGGTTTGTTTGGGTTTTGGCATCACTGGGTATTATCTACCAGCAGATGTTCCATGAACAATACAAATGCCTTGAAACTTTTTTCTATCTGGTAATGGGAATTATGCCTGCACTTGCAATTGTTGAAATGGTATGTATATTTCACAGTTGATCTCATATTTATCTGATATTATGTATCACTTTTTCTTTTCACAATTTGTGAAAGAGATTTTTCGATATCTTCACTTCTGTTGTATATTTAATTTCTGTTAATAATAGTGATAATGGGTCTCACTTTACAGAACGAGTTTTCTGGATTAACAGAACTGAAAATTGGAGGTATCATCTATGTTCTTGGGGTATTTTTCTTTAAGGCAGATGGAAAAATTCCTTGTGCTCATGCAATATGGCATCTCTTTGTAGTGATGGCAGCTAGTGTTCATTATTATGCTATACTCAACTACCTGTATCCCACAGAGGATGAAAATATAATGTGACTCAAAATTCACTGCAGACATCTAAAAATTTGTTTTATTATTTTATTAAATATTTGAACAGCTAAAACCTTTTGCAGTATGGGATATACATTTCTAGAATTTTTTTTCTGTTTTTCTTCTTTTCTTTAACAGTTTTGGATTATTGCAGTTTGGGGTTTTTATTTTTATAAAATGCTTGTTATGACTTTAGCTCCAAGAGAATGTTAATTATATTATTGTTGACAAAAGAAAATGAAAACTAAGTTCATGAAAGTGTGTGCTAAAAAGATGTTTTCCTATAAAAAAAATAGTTGCAGTGTTTAGAATATACTTTGCAAGCCAAAGAAAGTAAGAGATTGTCTATTATTTTAGTCTCTTGCCTGTTGTTGAAGTCTTGATCATTCATGAAGTGTTATACAAGATCAAGAAGTTATATTAACAAGTATTGTGTGAATTGTTTCATATTATTTGTTTGTTTCTCTGAAGCCATATTAACTATACAAAGTATTTTGTAACCCACCCTGCAGTCAGTTTCTGCCAGTGTCATTTCTCTTTGCTCATCTGAGGAGTACAGAATCAGTATTATGATCAGGAGTGAATAATCCTCCTTTTTTCCCCTTCATTAAATATACCCAGTAGCTGTATTGGGGTGTAGTAATAAATGTATTTTAATGTTTTAAATGATACCAAAGACACCGCTCTGATCACTTCTCGAATATCTATGGATTTTATGAATCTGAAAATGGTTACTTTCTCTTTTCTAAGCATTCATATGGGGAGAGAGAAAAACAAAGGTGTGTGCCCTTTGAAAAATGATGGGGGCTACGTCTTCTGGACAAACTTTTCAGTAGAGTACATATAAATTAATGTACAATTCTAAGATTATAAACATCTTTGATATAAATTTAAGGTTTTATAATTTTATAGTATGAATATATAAATATATATAGTTTATATTTTCTGCTGTTATCGTATATAAGTATATGTATATGTAAATGAAAGTTTTGCAAAATCTAGGTGTACCCTTGGAATATGAGTTGAGGGATACATTTAGTGGATACCATAATTAGCATGAATGTTACTTGATATATAGTTATACATAGAGGCATAGAAGTTTCAAGCATGTGCAGGATATAAAATAGGTTGTGAGCTATACTTTCCGGGAAGAACTTGGAACAATGACTTAATTTAATAAAATAGAATTTGGAAGCCTGTTGAATTGATTCAACAATCTGCGTAATATTCATAGCTGTGCTTTAAACATTTTAATTGAATGCAAAATGTTAAAAATTTTGGATTTTCTGGACAATTGACTACTTTTTTCCTATAGATCTGTATTCAATAAATTGAATCTCTTTTCCATCAGTTTTCAATTTTTATGCAATGTCAGCTTTTTCTATTTTTGACAAATGCTACTATCTCAGTTTTGTATTTTGTTTGAATTTTTTTCTTGAAAGTAGCAAGAGTGACAAATGAGGGGGAGTGGGAGTTAAATTGGTTATTTGCTGACGTTTAAATTAGTTTCCTGAAATGTGTCAAATTATTATATCTTTCAGAAGAGTGTTATTTCACTTGAAGGAATTTACAATACTTCAGGTACTCCAATTGGGAATTAGCTGGTGAGACAAGTTCCTCTGAATAGCAATGTTATCAGATACTATTCTCATTGACATCCTAATCTTTGATCTGCCAGTACTTTCACTTTGTTTTGCTTTCAATTTACTTAAGTCTGTTGATCCATTGCAAATGTTTTTCAGTGTTTGTTGGATGAAGTTTATCTTCATTCAGATTTGGTACTTTCTTCTCTTTATATATTTATTTTCTGTATTCATTGATTATTGCTTATGCTTATTTTCTTGATGAAGTTCTTTTCGTTGCTCAACTCGTTGACATTTTCTAACCTTCTAAAAACAATAAAAATGAATAATAAATAATTTGTAGTGAATTTAATATGAAACAACACAGGATGTTCTTCTCTTCAAGAGATGTGAACCGAACTTATATAGGTTTTGCCCTTAATGCTTCCATTATATGGGCTTTAATGGAGATAAAATATTTAGTACTCTAAGATTGAGAAGGACAGATCATTCCAGTATGCCATAACAGGTCTGAAGCAAAAGATTCGGTATCTAATCAAGACAGGTTGCAAACATAGTTCTCTAGGAACTACTTCAGCAGAGTTAAATATAATAAGGTGAGGATTTTCCAAACAACATTCCTGATTGACTTCTGTTAAATATTGGGTGTGTTGCATTGATCTCCACTGCTTCTGATTCATTAGAGAAGTACAACTTCGAATTCCTGCCATGTGCTAAATTATTCATGCTTGTCTGAGTAGCAATCGGTAGTTTGTGGTCTCACTGTTCATGGTCAGTTACATGTTAAGTTAATTTTGGCCTTCTCAAAGTAAACCACAGATGATAAATAAACCACAGCATAAGGTAATATGAACCTTTTTTTAGAAATAAAATTCAGTAAGTAAATAATAATTCAAAATCAGTTATTATTAAGATGAGAAATTGTGGCCATTTGATTGACCCACATCCCTTCTTCAGCTACTTGGAGAACCTCTGACAAAACATAATGTGCAGTGCATGAAATGAATATTTGGTGTATTGCTACAAAGAACTGTTTTTTATAACTCCCCATGTTAAATTTCACATTTGTATTGTGGTTTCAATTAAAAAATATGTTCTAAACAAAACTTCTGCAAAATATTGCAGTGTCAATTATTCAATAACTACTTACACATGCAGCTCTTAATTCTTTTTGCTGCATGCATAGATTTACAATCTTCATTTATTATCCAGGATTGGAAAAATAATTTTAATGTTGTCTTTATCATTGTTGACTGAATAAAATAAGTATGTAATTGACATTTTTAAAATGCTGTGGCGTTTTCAGAAAAATAAATTGCTTAAATAGATGTGAAGTTGGCACTGCTATTGTTTGACCCAGACAAGTTTAGATCCTACTTATTTTTAATAATATGGAAGTTCACTGTTGATATTTTGATTATTGGTTCCAAAACATCTTGGTTACAGAAGAAATGTGCATTAAGGAAGTTTTTCTTGGCGGCACACTTATGTTGAGTGATATTAGATCAGTCTTCCTACTGAGGTGAATGTGCTTTCTTCTACAGTGACAAAAAATACAATATGATATGTATTTTGTCACTCATCATTTTCTCAATGCAAACGATGCTCTCATAAATTATTGAATTAATGACATTTCCTATTTAATCGCAAAGCTATTAGCCGAATTGTAGCTTCTGAATTTTATCCTAGGTATAGTGATATATTCTGTGATATTGTTAAATTAGTGATTGTCAATGGCTGACTGACTGCAGTGAGTTTTCAAAAAAATTTAATTATTTCGCACCTACCTCATGCAGGCACGAATTGTTTAATTTACATGTGTTTTGTATTTTTGTGATATTGCAAGTTCATTTACATTCTTTTCCAATAAGGTTACAAATTGTGTTAATGTCTTGTTTATTTTCAGTAATTTTTGTGCAGAATTGCTGCCATAGTTTGCCAAAAAAGTGTTGTTGTTTCATAGTTTTTCATAGATGTAACAATTTATATTTTAATACATAAATAAATATATTAAAATGTTCTATTCAATGAATATAAAAATATTTCGTGTGAGTAATAATTTGTGGGGACAAACTGTTTTCATAAAGGTTTTCATACATGCCTCAATGTTTCTGTAAACTGTATTTGTAGTTCTTATGGATGTAAGATTACATGTTAATGACCTGTTTATAAAGGTATTTCAGTATCCATCATATCATTTGAACATGTAGAAAGTGCAAAAGAAAGACAGCAAATAAGTCTTTAACATATAAGTGTTAGATGTGTAATTCTATTGAATGTATTGCTCCTAAAAGTATTTTGGTCCCAGTAGGAACGTGTCTTCTTGATGTGAGAAGATTAAATGTCAAATCTGTGATTTCATATTGTTCATAATATTGTATTCCACTTAAACAAAATACTTAATGGAGTTAGTTACTTTTTTGAAATGGGAGACAAGGATCTCAGCTCTGCTGCATAGGACAAACATTGTAATGAAATCAATTTAAATTCTGTCCACATCTTGTCAATAATACTATAACATACATGTTTCATATAGTCATAAAATTTTTTATTTACAAATTATATTTTTTACGTGTATTTTTGTTTATTGAATATTATGTTTCAATATATTTGTGGTTTCAGGGTTAAAGTTCATTAGTTGAAAAGTTTAGTTAAGGACTTTTACCCTGGGACCTCAAATAAATTGAAGAAAAGCAGATGTGTGCTAATTAATTATTGCTTATTTGTTCTCTCTCATATTTTACTTATGTTTTGTGATAAAATGTTTGGTTTGGAATGAGCAGAACTGTGGGAATTGAAGTAGCCCGGGTAGAGTAGAAAATGAAATTCCATTTCTTCTCTAATTTTAATGAAAATAACCTCCCATTTCTCAAACAAGTGTACTATTTTATGTTCAAAGGTGCCAACGGTAGGCAGGTCGGGTTATGTTAAAATTCTTTAGAGTGAATACCTTTATATACTCTTAATGCTGTGTTCTGTTAAATTAGTAAGTTTTTCAAATGTGGTGATGTTTACATGCAGTATTGTTTTTCTTTACTACAAATATTCTTGTAGGTTGCTCATCCTTTTTTAAGGGAATTCACTTAACATGTTTTTGTTGGGTTTGTTGTCATATATTTTATTTGTACAGAGGTGTGATATGTTGTATTGCAGATGGTTTTGAAGGGTTTACAACATTAAATGTTTAATTTCTCATTGGAAAGTGTAAGTGCATCCAAAATGTAAAAAAAGTATTTAAGATTTTCTTTCTTAAAATAATAAAGAAATATTGGTGTTGGCAGACTTTGAAGACCTTGAAAGTCATAGACTTCATCTGTAAAAGTCATGAAATTTGAATATAAATCATTGAGAAGGCAATAATGTGTTATAAAAATATAGAATACTAAAAATTCTGAATAATTATAATTAAAAATAGTGATTTGTTTAGTTATTGTTAGTGGAATTTTTGTCGACACTGTTCCAATGAAATTCATTATGGAGAAAATATCATGAGAGGTAGTTTTAATGCAAAGATCATAACATATTGCTCTCTTTCTTCCTTCTTTCATGTCTGAAATCAAATGGTATGATCATAATTAAAGTTCAAGATAGTAGATGGCATGTTTGTTAAGATCGTAATAACTTTTGCTTGGAGTACTTTTTCACATTCCGGTAAAGAAGTTCTGTTTGTTTACTTCCTTGATTTACCAACAATGCATCCATATTGAATTTCATGAAGTTCGTAGAATGTAAATAGTTGACAGAAAAAAAGAAGTCGTGGAAAAATCGAGCAATTTGATATTTCTAAAATAAGCCAAGAAGTTGTAAATTTCCCGACTGGTAAGGTAACTTTGCTTTCCCATTGTGTCTATAAATATACAATGTTTAAAGTCAAATAGCTGTTTTATTATATTGAACTCGAGTGGAATAATAGCATAAGAGAAGAAATTAAGTTTGCATTCTCTTTAGGCATACATTTTTAGCTAGATATTAAAATAGTTGATGTATTAATAATTCTCTTTATGTATAACTTGAAATTTTATTTACTTAATGAGCAAGGACAATGGATTTAAATTCAAATTCCATGACACTGTACCAATAAGAAATTAAATCCTTTTTTTGTTAGGAAATGTGAAAGTTTCAGAAAATCTTATTCTATGAATTTGTTGGTCAGGCAAGTTCAACTTATTTGTTGTTGTTGGTCAGGCATGTTCTGTAAGTGTGTGATGGAGCGTTTGTTAATTTTACTGTTTCTGTTGTGTTCTTGGTTAGATGCTTTATATATTATCTTATATTGTAGATTGTTTTTCTCTGTAGAACTTGGAAAATTATTAACTTCATTACATTTCTTAAACTTTTTAAATGTTGATGTAGGAGATGCATTTTATGTCAAGTATTGTAATTGTAGTGATAAATTGAACAATGAAGTATCATGAAGAAGTCTGTTGTATTGAGACTTTTCATGTATGGATCTTTGTAAATTTTGGATTGCAGTTTCTGATAGTGTTTAAAAAAACACCCACTAAATAAACAAGTAGAAAATTATTACCAATTAATATTCCACCCATTTACATTTTGTGTTGAGAAAAGAAGTCATAGAAATATCTGAGCAGAGTTTCAGAATGTTTTTGCTGCCATTTGTAAAAGAATGGTTCATGGTCAGAGCTGAACAGTTGATAGAATGTGCTTAGTGTCTTTCATGAATAATTTTCTGTTTTGATCTGAACATATGTTGGTATTCATTAGGATTGGGTCTTTTAATGGAAAATTTAAATGAAAAAAATTCCTTCAGAAATAGTACTATTGTTTTCTTATTTTGATTCTTTGTGCTTCATTCCTGCAGAAATATAACTATTTTGATATCATTTCCTGAAGAAGGAATGAAGGAAAGTAGTAAGCAGAATCTGTTTACTTCATTTTTGGAGCCTGAAATATGATCTTTGATGGTAATATTCTAATATTTTTATGTAAGTGAAGAATAATTCAAAATTTGCTTATTAAATATCTTAAATTCTACTAAAAATATGATGGTTGAGTGAACTATGGAACTAGTTGAGAAATATTTAATTTTTGAGACTAGATAAAGAACAATAAATTCTTTATTTACAATATTTAATGGTCCTAATTTGTTTGTGGTCATTAAATAAGTAAATCAGTTAGTTCTGTCAATACTTGAGAACACTGTTCAAACATATATTGGACTTTTTTTTGACAGTTCAGTTTTGGGTTTTTGGCTTGGGTATTTTAGCCCAAATGCTACTTGTGTGGATATTACTTTCAAGAAAATTAAGAAACGTGATATCTCCTTCACTGTCTGTGGAGTTCCTTTTTATTTGTACTGTGGGGTTCAGAATGAACATTCTATTTGCCCCACATGTTGCATCATATATCGGTTTAATAAATTTGTTTAATGTTTACTTATGGTGAGACAGTTTAGTGGCTCTATTTACAAAGGTGTCCTGAAGAATTTGAAATGATGAGACGTTAGTGTCAGTTTTGAAGAGGTTTTATAACTTACTCTGCAGGGTATTTAATATGAATGTGTTCAGTAAAATCCACCTTTATTTTACAGTGAAATTAGACTGATTAAGACAGAATTTTAAATGCACCTACCCCAAATCTATCATTCATGCTAATTTTGAAGTCATAATCCTAGAAAGTGAAAGTGAAAATTCAAAGTATATGACTTAGAGGAAGGAGATTTCACTGTATCTATTGGTCGAGAACTGATAAATTTAATAACTTTCTAGTTTTCAAATATATTTAGAATTCTGTTTAATATTGGCCTTCTATTAGTTAGTAGGAAGGGGTACAATGATAAATTCCACTTTGTAATGGAAATAACCAACTGATTTATTGTTTAGATGAAGTAAATTCTTTACTTAATAGCAGAATACCATGAAGTTACATATGAACCATTTGACATATTTTAAGAAAAATTTTAACTAAAATTTTCCCAGAATTGTGTAGTTTTCATAAAAAACTCTCATCACAGGTGCTTTGAAGACATTTTTATAAATTCATTTCTAATGTGCTACATGTGATGTATAGAATTTTAAGTGTTTGTGAGATGTAAATAGGAACCTCAAATTCTGTTCTAAAGATCGAACGGTAAAATAGAACCATAATTTATACCTCTTTACCAAACATATTTTGGAAAATATTTCTTATAAGAGATACCTACATTAGACCTTCAATGTGATTATGCATGTGGACAGTGACGATCTGTACTCTTTACCAATGTGTGTATATCAGTATTTTGTGTATTCTTTTTGTAAATGTAAAACATGTAGGAATGCTGCCTCCATGTAGCAACATTTTGTATTGTGAATTAAATGTAATTGCAAAGAAAATTTTCTTTCCAATGGTTTTTTAATTTCCTAGTACTAAATAATGTTAAAACAGTCGAAGTCAGACAAGTTGCATGGGCATGATGTTTTCATGAGACCCGTTTAAAGGGGTGGATCAAGACTCGAGAATTATGTTTGAAGGACTTTAAAGATTTTTTTATATTTTTAACATGTAGAAATTTCTGGAGAAAATCTGCGAGAATGTTTTATGTGCAGCTGTTCTATCGTTTATTAATAGTTTCTTAAATATTCCATCTTAAGTGGTGCTCCTTCCATCGTAAAACACCTTAAACAATATTTGCAATGTAGATGTGGGAAACCCTGAAAATGCAAACATTTCATATTTTCATGCATCATTTAAGGCATTTCATGGAACCCATTGAATAACAGGGCAAATAACGTGGATTAAGGTGGACCTATCAGAAATATTGCCTTATAGTTTAAACGATCTAGAAGTGTGTGTGTGTTTGAAATAGATTTGACACTTTCAGCAATTTAATATTTCCTTTCATTAGTTTTTAATTTTTTGCAAAATGAGTAATTCTTGAATAAATGATAAAAAATTTTGTGAGTTTTCTGTGGAGTTCTTATATAATTAAATATTTGAAGGATACACAAGAAAAATGATCTAAGTGTGGTTTTGAAGATTGCGAGAAAAACTATTTTTAAAGTTCGGGTATTATATTTGGTGTTTTATTTTAAATAAATATTAAAAACACAGGAACTGTTTGCGAAAGGCACAAACATTTGAAGTTTCAAATTGATTTTGTAATTATAAATTAATAGTTAGTGAAGGAAAAACAGTTTCAATGAATTTTTGCAGTCAATTCAGTGAAAGAACAAGTGGAATGTACTTATAACAGAATTATACACTAAATTAAGATCATTATGTTATGCATTCAGAATTCTTTCAAATTCCAGCAGCTTTCATGCAGCTCGTTCTGTGTATTTTGTAAAGGGCATTCCCACTTGAGATATGGCATAATCTACTGGGGAAGCTTATCTTGTAGTACGCAGACCTTTAGATTGCAAAAGAAAATTATTCGAATAATGAAAAAATGCCATTGCGTGATCCCTGCAAGCCTCTCTTCATTTGGCTTGGAATCTTACCACTGCCTTGGCTGTTTATTTACGAATCTGTAATATTTGTCAAAACTGACTTGCTAAATGGTGGGAACATGTTTTCATGTGATATTAATATTTGTAATTACAACACATGTACAATTCACATCCATTAAGTGTCAGTATCAGCAGCTCACTATCAGAAATCCACATACAATACATGTACGTTACCACGCATTGCCAGATGACATTAAACAATTGAAGTCAGTACACAATATTAAGTTAAAAGTAAAATCTTTTCTGCTGCATAACTGTTTCTATATAATTAGAAACTATACTGATCAACAAAATGAAAAATAATTTTTATTTTAACAAAATAGTTACATGTAATGAATTAGTTTACTTTGTATTAAATTTTTTTTTCTTCTTTTTCTTCTTCTTTTTCTTCCTCGTTTTCTTCTTCCTCTTCTTCTTTCTCTTCTTCCTCTCCTTCCTCTTCTTCCTCCTCTTCTTCTTCTTCTTTTTCTTCTTTTTCTTTTTCTTTTTTCTTATCCTTTTTCTTTTTTCTTTCGCTTTTTTCTTCTTCTTTTTCTTCTTCTTTTTCTTCTTCTTTTTCTTCTTTTTCTTTTTCTTCTTTTTCTTTTTCTTCTTCTTTTTCTTTTTCTTTTTCTTCTTCTTTTTCTTCTTTTTCTTCTTTTTCTTTTTCTTCTTTTTCTTCTTCTTTTTCTTCTTTTTCTTTTTCTTCTTTTTCTTCTTCTTCTTCTTCTTTTTCTTCTTTTTCTTTTCCTTCTTTCTCTTCTTCTTCTTCTTTTTCTTCTTTTTCTTTTCCTTCTTTCTCTTTTTCTTTTTCTTCTTCTTTTTCTTCTTTTTCTTTTCCTTCTTTCTCTTTTTCTTTTTCTTCTTTTTCTTTTTCTTTTTCTTCTTTTTCTTTTTCTTCTTCTTTTCTTTTTTTTCCTTTCTTCCTTCTTCTCTTCTTTTCCTTCTTTCCTTCTTCTTCTTCTCCTTTTCTTCTTCTTCTTCTTTATTCTCCTTGCTTTCTCCTTTCCTTCTCCCTGCTCTTTCTCCCTTTCTTTATTCTTCTTTTCTTCTTCTTTTTTCTTTTCTCTTTCCCTCTTCCTCTTTTTTCTTCTTCTTTTATCTTTCCTTTTCTTTCTTCTTTTTCTTCTCTTCTTTCTTTCTTCCTTTTCTTTCTTTTCTTTTCCTCTATTTTCTTTTCTTTCTTCTTATATCTCTTTTCTTCTTCTTCCTTCTTTTTCTACTTCTTCTTCTTTTTCTTCTTACTTTCCTTTTCTTCTTCTTGTTCTTCTTCTTCTTCCTCTCTTTTTCTTCTTCTTTTCTTCTTTTTCTTCGTTCCGTTCTCCCTGCTTTTTTCTTTCTTTCTTCTCTCTTCCTTCTCACGTCGAGTCTAACCCCCTTAAGCGTTTGGCCGTTTTCGATTTCAAATAAGTTATCCGGTCCCACCCTTGAACCCTCTTCCAATCCTTTCTCCCATTACTTCTGTATTATTGTATGTTTCAGGTTAACACCCAGGGTCCTACCTCTTCTACGTCTTCTTTCAGGTATCCAATTTAAAATTTGTTTTGGCCATCTCTCATTTCGCATCTTCTGGACATGTCCATATCATTGAAGAACTTTATTTTGTAGTCTTCTGGTTATGGTTGTTTGAACCCCAGCTCTTTCCCGCACCAATTCGTTTCTTATATTATCCAGTCTTGTAATCTGCAAAGATCTCATAAAGTCGAGCTCTACCGACCGTATTATGTCTCTACGGCGTTTTGTTAACGGCCACATCTCTGCTCCATATAATACTTTCCATGATAATGTGGAATATGTGTCGTTTTATGTCTTGCCTTAAAACACTGTTTCATATAATGACATGCAGAGCTTTGATTGCATTCCTCCCCATTGCGAGTGTAGTAGTTATATCTTCATCAATTTTCCCATCGTCAGTAGTTACAGTCCCAAGATACTTAAATTTCGAAACGTTAGCTATCTCGTCATCAGCGCCATTAATATTAGAGGCATCTCCTCCTATGCATAAATATTCTGTCTTTTTAAGGTTGATTTTAAGTCCCCATTTTTCGTATTCTTCTTTTAATTTGCGAAGCATATACTCCATATCTTCCCGATCTGATGCCATCATTACCTGATCATCTGCAAAAAGCAAAGAATGTAAGCACTTGTCATTTATGGGAACTCCCATTTGAGAACATTTCTTGTACCAGGTTTCCAAAGCTTGTTCCATATTAAAGAGAAGTGTTCTATATTAAAGAGAAGTGGCGATAAGCTACATCCTTGGTTTAACCCTTTGTTAGTTCTAATGCTTCGGGTAATTTTCCTCCCCGTTTTAATGTACGCTTCAGTATTCTGGTACATTTTTGTAACTAAATTAATCCATTTTTCTTGCACTTTGTCTTTTCATTGCTGGCCAAATTTTACATCTTGGAACACTGTCATAGGCCTTTTCCAGGTCAATAAATGACACATATGTATCTATATTGTGCATTCCATTTTTTTCTATTATCTGGTGTAAGCAATGGATGTTATCCAAACATGACCTCCCACTCCTAAAACCACTTTGTTCTTCACTGAAAGTTATTCCTTTTGGATTTTTTCCTTTAGAATACTAGCAAATAGCCTAGCAATTGATGGGATGACACTAATTCCTCTATAATTTTCACAAATAGTTTTGTCACTTTTCTTGTGTATGGGACTATAGTATGACATATTCCATTCCTGCGGGATATTACCGCTAACTTCAATTCTGTTAAAAAGATTTTGGAGTATTCAATTATACTAGAGCCTCCGTATTTTAAAAGTTCCATTCTAAGGTTTCCTGGTCCCGGAGCTTTATTGTTTTTGGTTCTCGCCAAAGCCCTCTTCACATCAAGCCGACTAATTTCAGGTTCCCATTCTTGCCAATGTGTGCATTCCAAATCTTGTTGGTATTCGACTCTATTTTCTTGCAATAATGTTTCGTAGTAGTCAATCCATTTTGTAGGAGTTATTATTTGTTCCTTGCTTCTGTTACAGTTCTTTCTCATATTTTTAATTTTTTTCCATGATTCAGTTGATCTGTTATATCCCAATGCACTATCTATATCCCTACATAATCTCTCCCAGTGTTCATTTTTTTCGATTTTTACTCATTCTTTCACTTCTTTTCTCTTTTCTACATATTCCTTTCGTCGTTCGTGTCGTCATTCCTATTTGAAATCCATGTCAAATATATTTTTTCTTTTCCTTAACCATGCTTTCTAAATTTTCGCTGAATTTCTGTACAAACTGGCTTTTTCCTTGCTCCACTCCTAGAACATCCTTGGCTGCTTCAAAAACAGCCTCTTTTAAATGATTGTACATTTCTTCGGGATTTTTATCTTCTGTGTTTTCTAGCTTATTCTTAATTGTTTTGGTAGAGCAACTCAACACTGTTTTAAAAGGTCTGTTTTAAAATTTACATCGTTTTCTTCTATTAAAAAGTCAGTATCTTTTTCAGTACATCTTCGTTTATTTCTAAAAGGAAAAACATGTTTGCTCACTTCCATATAATGATCAGTTTCACATTCTGGTTGACGATATACTCTCACATCATTCAGTTTTACTCTTCTTTCATTCTTCACCACAACTAAATCAATTACAGATTGAATATTTCTTACTGGATCTATTCGTGTATATTTGTGGATGTTTTTATGTCTGAAAAACGTATTCCCTACACATAGTGCATGTTCCTTACATAGGTTGATTAATCTTTTTCCATTGTCATTAATATTTCCCTCTACGTATTGACCTACTACTTCACGTTCTCTATTACCTACTCTGCTATTTAAACCCCTAATTAATATTATTTCATTTTGATACGGAATACTCGCTATAGTTTCGCTGAAGTCTTGAAAGAACTTATTCTTTTCATCTATAAGTGCATTATCATTTACGGCATATAC